AGAAGTGTGGGTCTTACTACAAAGTAAAGACAGTAAGAAGGAAAAATATAAAATTCTTATGTGGTACTGGTAATATCAGTAGTACGTACAAATCATGCAAGTTTATCATTCGAAATACTGTATCATATTATTATTATTACTATGAGCTAAATATAAAAGTACACTAAATTATTGAACTTAAAACTACAAATTTAAATGCAAAAGAATATAAAAAAATCATAAACTCTTTCAGTTCAAAGTGCTAAGCCTAATTCATGTAAAGACCTTGCACTCACCACTTGATAGCTCTTAACCCTAACAATCATGGACCAACTTCTTTCCTAAAAAATATATCTATTTTGAGTTAATTTTTCAATATAATGATTAATATAAATAGATATACAATACAGCATGACTTAAGCTACTATAGAAAACTAATAAAAGTCACATACATCCCATGCAGTTTTTTCCAGAAGCAAGTTTTCTAAGGATTATAGAAAAGTAATATTGACCAATAATAAATACAACCTCTACATAAAACGTCAGTTACTATAATAAGCACCACTCACATTCATATTGTAAAATCCAGAGTACAGTGTTTCATCATGTGCTTTGCTTATCATCTTATGATTTGTCAAACGTGAAATACAGCGATTGGAATAACATGGTACTGAAATTGACATCTTCGACTAGGAATGGCTAAAAGTTTTACAACTGAGGTTTAACAAGCCCAGACACTGTTTTATAAAGAAAACAGAATAGAAAAAGGTTTAGATAACAATCATAGATTGCAGGACCAGCACTGCAGTGGAAGGAAATTTTTTTTAAATTAAAAAAAATTTTCTTCTTAGAGGGTGCTTATTTATAGTTTCAAATGTATTTTGGGATTTTTTTTATTAAATTCCTCTTTAAACTTCATTAAATAATACAATTTTGTACAAATAATTGAATGTTATGCTACTATTTACAAAAATAAAATCTGAAATCCAATAAAAGATAAATTCTCTATAATTTTTTCAATTCACAAATATGATTTTGCCCTCACGATAAGAGAAAATGGCCACGGCAGGTAATGGGTTAAAGTAAACAAATGTTTTATTCTAAAATCAGGTTTCAAGGTATATCTAACTTGAGTCTGTGGATGTACTCTGCTTATGAGAGTAGTTAACAATTACGGGTTTATTTGAGACTATAGAATGATAAAATAAGAGGATTACAGCACTTTATAAATATTTGTGGCTATATTATAAATAATTCCAGTACAATATTAATTTAATTTTTAGCCTTTTTAATCCTTATTATTTCTTCATGTGATGAAGTGAAGCTGCTCTAAATACTTTAATTAATCAAAACTTTAACCAGGTTAATTTTAAAAGCAGTAGATAGAAAAACTATTAATCTGTACTGATAATCTAGAATATGTTGATTTAGGATAAACACTTTTTAAAACCACTTTCTTCATTACTTATTGCAGTTTATCAAAAGGTAATGTTGAATTGTGTTATTGTCCAGCATTGAATCTAATGACAGGATATTTATTTTACAATTAATTTTCAAATTTATTTACTTATTCTTGTAACTGAAAAATAACAAATGTATCATCCCCATAACATCGTAACACTTTAAATAGGAGTGGATGAAATTACCATCTGCTCGACTAGAAATAGACTTTATGCAACAAAATGGTAACTCTGTACGTTCCTGACAAAAACCTTGTAAGATTTTGTTCAAGTTTATAAGTATCTTGTACACAAAAAATGACATTATTCTAATTACGTCTTTCTAATGAAAATTTTATTTATCTATAGTAGTTATTTGCACTTGGACTTTTAAAATAGTTCGAGTGCAAGGTGATTTTCATTTTAAGTATAAAAATACTTTTCTTCATCTTACAATTTTTTTATTTCATTTGCACAAACTCTAGAACCTCTTAAATGAATATCAAAAGATTTTTAAGGTAAATGTTTAAATTTTACTTATCATTTTCTTTACCATATCACTAATTCAGGCTATTATTATCATTGTACAATGCAATGAAATGATTAAAATTAGGAAATAAAAAAAATAAAGACCTTCTAATTTTTTGTAGAATATCTTTAAAGATGTTTTTTTTCTTATATTCATAATTTTTTTCCTTTTCACAATATTTTCCTTTAATATTTGTTTTCCGCTCTTGTCCTTTACCACATATTATTCATTTTGACACAAGCAAACAGTGCCCTCAAAGCATATTACAATTCTTTGGAAGACGTGCGTACCCTCCAGCTAAATTTTTTTTTAGCGTGTAATATCGTAAGCCTCGAAAACAGATGCAAAGTATGATGTATATTTAAAAAATTTTTCAACCTTTTAATTATGCATTTTAAAACATAACTAACACATAATTAACTAAAATACAATAGTAATACCTAAACACAATTTAAACTGTATCTCTAGCTATAACATATTTAGGTAAGAAATAACCATAAATGTTATAGTCAATCAAACGCCAACAATACCACAGTCAGTTACATGCACTCTATGATGACAACTTGATGCCAATTTCAAAATAACCATTGTTAGATTATAGTGTAAAATGAGCTCTTTCTAATGATTATACACATGTGTATGTAATATCTACATGTAGGCTATGAAGCTCAAACAACTCTGTTGAAGATGGGCATGGTAACTGTCAGGAGTTAAAATAATTAGTTGTTTTAACTGTATTCATTCAAAGAACTTTGAAATGAATGAGTCAAAAGGTTATATAAGCATGTTATTGTCTAGACAATCCTCTAATCAATTACTATTGTATTATTGAAGATACAGAGAGCCAAGGTAGAGAATTTTCATAGCTCATTGGTCACGTGACAATACATCTGAAATTTAAGTAGAATTTTAAAAGTCTCTTTTGAAATAAAGGACTTAAAACTTCAATTCATAACATATCTTATAATGTTAATTTCATTCATATACAATGATATTAATGGTGTTTAATTAAATTTTTAATGTAACACAGTGACTTGCGCAGAAAAGGGTTTAAAGGGGTACCTGTTGCAAAAAAGTTGATTATAGTGATTTAAAAGCAATAAGATAAACTGCTATCTAGTGTCTCTCAGTAAAGACTTAAAGATATATTAACCATAGCAAGTACAAGTTTATTTACTTAACTATTAACTATTAACTATTTACTTTACTATTAACTTGATCCACTTTCTAATGTACTTGCTATGAATATCAGCATTTTACATAATCCTTTCTTTCTTCAGTGTAGTTTTTAGTTTCCATTATCTTGATTTGATCTTTTTGATGGTGATATTTTTTATTTATATCTGAACAGCACCAACAAACACTGGAGCAGCAATAGCTCCTCCACCATCCTTGCTGGAGCCTACTGATAGAAAAGAGGAACTGTTGTCCAGTTCAAAATATTCAGGAGGCTTGGGGTAATGTACTTTTTTAAAAACCTTATTAGATTTATATCTTTGTCTTTTGTAGTTTCATGCGTGTTAGAGTAAAAGAAATATAAAAAAGTAATTTCTGTGACAAATAGACATAAGTGTTTGTATTAATAAAAATTACTTTTGTCCTTATATTTCACCCATTTGAAAGTATTGCTGCTAGAGAAGGTTGTAAACAATTCTATCATACTTGTATGTTAATTGTTTTAAGTGAAGGTACTGATTAATAAGATAATCAGGCTTAAATATATCATTATCTCTCAAAGTAAATGTGGAATCTTATTGTGTTTTAAGTTATTTACACAGTCATCTGAAAGATAGTCTGTCATATATATATTTTTTCTGGAGATCCTGTTATTTAATTTTTCAAATATAGTTGAGGTTCTTGTTTTTTTTAAAGAATCTAATGAAAGTCATATTTCTTAGTCCACCTCCTTAAATCTTATTATTTACCTGCTACTTTGTAATGTCTCAATTTCTTTTTTTAAGAAAGAATTACTTCTTTTAGTGGACTTTGTTTTTTCTTTAACAGCTCCTTCCTGTCTATGTGTATTTATCTTTTTATTTTTCACTTTTGTATTTTTTGTATTTAATTTTCTCTTATTAATTGTTGTAAAAAAATTAATAATCAAGAATTTACTATGAACTTGTACATATACGAGTAAGTTTAAACAAATATTGTTTGCTATGTCTAGGGGCTCTGTGAGTTCTGTAGCAGCCCGTATTATGGCAAAATATGGTTACAAGGAGGGTCAGGGTCTAGGGAAGAAGGAGCAAGGAATGAGCCAAGCTTTACTTGTAGAAAAAACAAGTAAACGAGGAGGAAAAATCATTCACGAGAAAGATTTACCAAAAGGTTAGGATAATGAATTTATAGTTTAGAAGTTAACCACATGCAGTTTCAGTGATAGTAATGTAAAATATTGCTATAAATTCTTAATTTTAACTTAGTTGGTACAATAGTTTTTAACCTAATTTATTTGGGTGGTAAGTGCCACAACTGGGTATAATGTTTCTGTGCAGGAAATCTCTGAGCAATACAGTTTAATTTACTAAACAACATTAAATGCTGTAAGAGCTTTTTTAATGATGTAAAAAACACCTAAAGAATGAAGTTTTAAGTATTAAAAAAAATAGAGTAAAATCTGTTCATTGGCATCATTGTGGCACTTTCCTCATTCCAGAAAGTTTCTCTGGATTATTCAGGCTTCCTATTTAATGTTGACCAGAATTCATTTTTTATGTTCCCTATACATTATTAAGTAATAAGAGTTTCTTTTGTGTCATATAAAAGGTTTGTTTAAATTAAAAGTACCTTTATGTTTTCACCCACACAGTTTTTTAGTTGTAAGTGTAAAAATATTTATCTGTAGATCCAAACCTATTTGTACATCCAAATTTGGTTTCTATTCTTATACCACCAAGCCTCTAAATTAAAATAATTTTGTGAAGAAAAAAAGATTATCATCAGATAATATTCAGATATTTATTTAACATGTATTGTGAATATTACATAAACCACCAAATAAAAGATTTATTTTAAAGGTTAATGAACCATTATTCCAAGTAATAAAATGTTATCCACTATCTAAAGGTATTGGACTGTGTCCCAATACATAAATAACATAACATGAGAAAACTGTGTATGTTGGCTGCTTCAGTCAGGTGCCATTTCTGGAAAGAAGTCTATCAGCTGAATTATTGTTTTATTTTTCATTTTTTGAAGTAAGGATCATAAAATCATATTTACCATATTGCTATGGGTTTTACTAAAGTCATGGGTCAAAGGACATGTCATCATGTTTGTCAACTTACCTTCAAAATTTTATTAAACTACTACTTTATGAAGGTATGTCGGTAAGTTTGGTATCAAATTGTAGATTATAATTCAAATTTTAGTATTATACATTAATTAATTTCTTAATTTAAAAGTAAATGTTAAGAATATTTCCTAAATATCAAGTTTTGTGTGTTACATGGTATGTTGAATGCAGGTTTGGTTCACATTAGATGACTGTGATGTCCAAGTACAAATTCTGTAGTTTCTTACGAATTAAAAACTCAAATTAACAAAACCTCCTATCTTTTTTATTTGCTGAGATATCACTATATTTAGCGAATCAAACACAGTGGCCTCATCCACCTCTTCCATTTTTGGACATACATTTGCTTCGCTCTATAATGTGTTTATAACCAATCAAAAGTTCAGAGTTTCCCTTACATAGTTTTCTCAGGCTCTAGAAGGTGGGAAGTTCCCTAGATTATTTCTTTTGTTTCAATTCTTGGAAGGAAGGGGTAAGTGAAAATGTTGTTGGAAAAACTATTTTTTTAGACCTAAATACAGTTTAGTTAGTAGGCCTGATAAATTACTGTGAAATTCTGCAATATTGATAGAGTAATTTATAATTTTTTATTTCTAAATGAATATATAAAACCTATAAAAGTTATTTTGTTTGAAGTCCCTCATGTGCAAAATTAAGCAAGGCTTAGCATGCAAGGTACCACAAACAAGTACAAACTTCTTTAAAATAATAAGTAGTAGAGATCATTGTTTTCTATATTTCTTTATTTACTCTTCTGTATTTTAAGAAAAATAACTGAAATTTTAGAACTTACTTGTAAATACCAATAATATATAGACATATGTAATGTATTATAACCGAAACGAGACTGTTTTTACAAAATACTCGTCAACTAGAACAAAGCACAGACAGGTCACTTTGTAAAGGCCAGTTTTATACTGTTGGATATGCTAACATGACTGCACGTGTGCAGCATCATTGCAACTTCTGTTAATCAGACATGGCTGAAAGGTCAATAAAATAAAAATAATATATGTATATATATATATAGATGTATAATGTTCTGAGATTTAATCTATTTTGACCAAACATTTGTGGTTTCATGTTATGATTTGTAGTCACTTTAGAATGAAAAAACATAATTTATATCTATTTACCAATTTTTTTATGGTGGTTACAAGGTCAGCTAAATCAACCAAACCCATAGAGAAATACAATAGTGAAAAATAACTGATAAAATATAAAGTGTTTTCTAAAAAAACATTTGATAATTATCTGGAGGTTATAAAGATTTTGCATGTGAAATTTGACAATTTTCTGATGCATAAAAATATTTTTAATCTTAAAATTAAATTATTACTTTGCATGTTGGATAGTCAACATTTGAAAAGAAAAAATGCATAAGCAAATCATTACTTAAAAAATCTTATATTTTGTGTCCGAAAGCCTATTAATGTTTACTGATAATCTGTAAACATTTTGTGGATATATGCATACTGTATTAAAAGTTATAGTATGAAACCCACATCAAGCACAAAATGATTACGAGGTCAGTCTCTGGGACTGAACCTTTAGTAAAAGAGTTAAAGATAGCATATTTTTTTTGAGTAATCCAGCCATTCTATTCAACAACAACTATTATATGATAATTCTGCAGAATAGAGTTTTTTGAAAGTAAACAAAACTTTAAATTCACAAACTTGAAAATATTCCATGTTGGTATTTAAATGTAAGTCAATTCTAACTGTACAGTTGGCCTTGACTATGGCTTAAGAATTTCTGCATGGCTTTGCACTCTATAGTCTCTTACAAATTAGAAACTCTCATTACCAAGCTCACTGACAAGCTCTAAAATATAAAATAAGAACCTCTTATCTTTTCTATTTGCTGAGATATCATTATATTTAGCAAACAAACACAGTAGCTCCGCCACCTCTTCCATTTTTGGAAGTACTTCCTTACGTACACCTGTTATGCTCTATCACATGCTTATAACCAATCAAGAGCTCAGAATTTCCCTCACCTGGTTTTTGCAGCCACTTAATAATAACGGATGCTAAGTAAGTGTGATTAAGAAAAGCAAATTCTACCACAAGAGATGTTTAGTTAGACATATCTTGTAAAATACATATGTTAATTAAAATAAATGATTTTTCAAGTTAATGTTTTCCATGCATAAATTACCAGTAATATATTACCAGAATTTCCATAAATCTGGTGTTTTCATTAAAAGATAAACAGTAAATCAGACTTCAGAATCACTTAAATGTAGCATTGTGCTAGTCCCTGTAGTGATGATATCACTCTCGTAGCTTATAAATCATTATTTGTTTTCATGAAAGTCATTATTCATTGGTCATGGATGGGGTGAAGAGAAACAGGTGTTTTTGACTTGAGACCCCTGTGGGACCTGAAAGATACTAAACCAAAATGACTACCAAGAATTGGATGAGTTATTCATCTTTTGAAAGTTTTGTCACATCTATATGCAATAGTATACAATGTGAATAATGAATATGAACAACTAAAATGTTGTGAATATACCTAATATAATACTATTAAATACACTAAAATTAAGTAATGGCATATAATGGCTGGAGACGGCTTAAATGG